TTGGGTTTTTTTTTTTTTTTTTGTTTTTTTTGACACCCCCCCCTCCCCCCCCACTTTTTTGCTGGACTGCTGCTAGGTTACCGCTGCTCCCTTCTGGCCTGAGTCGGCAGGGCAGTACAGGGGCATAGAGGGAGCAGGTCACGACTCCTCGTTGCCAGAATCATCATCATCGTAACAGTCGGCATCCTCCTCCTCCTCATCCTCATCGTCAATGTCGTCATCGTACAAGTCGTCGTAAAGCAAATCTGAACTGTTGTCATTGGAAGGCACTTTAGTTTTGATGCAGTACTCTGCCAGTGTAGTGGGGACCTTCACACCATCCTTCTCTGCCTCAGCTTTGGTAGCCAAAACCTGTTTCCTGTGGGGAGAAGGACACAGCAGCAATGAGAAGAGGGCCGTGTGCCAGGGGCTCATCTGCCCCGCCCGCCCCTGCAGGCCCTGCCCAGCCCTCCTGGCAACTCAGGGACAGGGGAGCTGAGGTTTGCAGGAAGTACCAAAAGCAGCACTAGAAACAGATTTGGTTCTTGCAGCCCCAGGCTTGGGAGAATGCCAAGGGTGTTTGCAGCACACTCACTCTCAGCAACATATGAAATTGGTTATTCCACAGGCTCTGCACTAGACATCTGCCAGAGGCCAAAGCAAATTCCATTCACTACCGTAGGGATGGCCGAGGATTTCCTAGGATGATTTATTGACTCTGCTGCTGACAACTCTCCCACAGCATGCTCAAAACTGCAACTCCCACAAGCCTTTGGCAGCTCTCAGCTCCCACTGGAGGGTCAGAGCAACAGGGGCACATGGCAGCACCCCAGGACAGAGCCTGGGGCTTGCAAAAGCCAAGTGTTTCCCACCACCCCGGGCAGGCCAGGCTGCTGTGTCCCAGCAGGGAGGAGCAGATGGCAGCCTGTCCCCTCACCCACCCACTGCCTGTCAGTCTGCCACTCCCTGTGTGAAGTGCACCCTGCTCTGCTGGAGCTGAGGGAGCCAAAGGATTTTCTGCACAGACAGAGCCCCACTGGCCCCACCCAGGGCCACATCCTGCCTGCCTAGCTGGCAGAGACAATGCAGATGTGGCCTCCTGCTAGCTCTCCAGGCTGGGCTGTCCCTCCACAATAGCCCTGGCCCACGCTCACATCATCCCCCTGCAGCTCCTGACAAACTATTGACTTCTGCAAGGGCAGCACTGAGCAGTGCTTCCAGATAATCCAACACAGCTCTGCAAGCCCTTGACAAATCCTGCTGATGCTCCTTTGAATTGGAGAGACAAGATTATGATTCATGCCCGCATTAAGCACAGAAATTAGTAGGATGCATTCAGTTTGCATCACATCCCAAGCAATGCAGGGCTCAAAGACAAGCAGGGACTTTGACTGGGATTTACTAGGAGCCAATAGGTTTTGCAGAGCATCATGACAGATTAGCCTGAAAAAAGAAAAAATTAAAGACAAATCAGCCCAGTCCTCCTGCCCCAGAAGTCAGCACTGCTTCTGTGTGCTGAAAATTCTGGAGGGACCTGAAGTGTGGACTTTGAATAAAACAATGAAATTAATTTCCAAATTAAATTCTGCTGCAGGAAGCTGGTTTCAGCAAATTCTGGAAGCAGTCTGTTTGATAGGATTCAAAGCAGAAGGCTGGTAGCCCAGCATCACAAGTAGCCAAGTTTACCTTATGATTTCGGCATACTCCTTGTCTTTTCCTTTACTGTCCCTCCATTTCCTGAACATGACTGATGCATCCACATTGGCTGGGGAGAACGTGTTGGGCTCGTTAAGCAAAGAGATTACGCTCAGTAAGATAGTCCTGAAAAAGGTAATCACAACAGGAGAGTCAGAGCTAACATATTCAGGAATTCTGGATATCCACAACCTCTTTAGGTGTTGCATCTTAAACTTGTTTGAAGTGAAGTCTTAAGCTGAGGACAGTGGTTTTTAAGTGAAAGCAGGTATTTATGAACCTCAGACCCTGGACACTGGTGTAAGGAAGGTGATACAACACAAACCTCACGTGACTACAGACCCTTGTGTCTGTGCATGTGCTTGGGACAGGGGAGCATTCAAAGCTACAATTAGACCAGAATTCAGGTTGTCTGCACTATCCACAGATGGTGTGGGGATGGAAATCTGCTCTGTGAGCTGTTCCTGGTGGTTTGCAGCCTCCAGCAGGAAGCCAGGCTGTTTGCCTGCCCTGCACAGGGAGAAGGACCACTATGACCCAAGGCCAGCAGAAAAGGCTGCACTACTTTTCCCCTGCCCTGCCAGGTGGTGGAGGCTGAGGTCAGGGCAGGACTCTCCCCACTCAGGCTGCAGCAGCAGATCCCGAGCACAGCAAGAGGAAGACAGTGTAATGCTTTTCAATGCCCAGGCAAAGTGCCAGGGCCCAGTGGGATTCAGCTGCTGGTACTCAGCATTGCCAGCATGAGCCAGTCACATAACCCCTGTCAGGCAGACAGACAGACAGACGTACAGTCTTCCAGGATTTCCAGCCACGTTCTCTGCTCTGCTGGAATTTACCAGCTGCAAACCCCATCCTCATGCCCAGAGTTTTCTCCTGCAGTCCCTAGAACCCTTTGCATTTGAGAGATGCAGTCTTTGCTGCTCTTGCTGTGCCCCAACCTGCACTAACTCCCACACCCAGGCACTGGCTGTAGCTGCCACCGTGACAGTGTCACCCGACCCCATGGTCCTGCAGCAATGGCTTCCCTTTCGAATGGAAGGGATAAACAAGAACAGGGAATAGTTCCTGAAACACAGCATTACCTAACAGCCACTTCACAGACCTTGATTAAAGGAGACTGGGAGCCGCAGTTGTGTTTGCACTGATTCAGGGACATGTTCAGAGCACATCTACTGGATCATATATCTGGGTACAATTCCAGGAAATGCTTGGTCATTTGGATACTGAGTATCTTGAAAGCTTTTGAAAATAAACACTTGTCTCTGAACAGACTGTTCAGCACAGCTATCAAGAGAGTCTTATACAATTCATTTTCTAAATTATATAATTCTGTACGAAAAAGAGAACAGCAGCTTTGGAGAAAACTGTCTCATTGGACTGGAATGATGGGCATAAGAGATCATTTTCTACTTCATCTCAAGAATTCATTTAAGAGCCTTTGATTCTCTGCAAACAGGCCAGCATGTCAGCTCCAGTATCATGCAGCAGCTTTCATGTAGAGCAAACGAAGTCTAGGGAGGGATGAGGACCGGAATTCTGGATTTAGCATCTGCTCTACCACACTTCCATCAACAGTGATGAGAAGCCAATTTTCACTGTGGTGTCCAGACACCAAAGTCGCTGCAAAGCTACTTAAATACACCAAAACAACTGTATTGGAAGTGAAACTCTGAGCTCTTCATTCCCATCCAGCACATTAGATAAACTCCATCACAGCTGATATCTTTAAGAGCTGGACAGTGTCCTCAAACTCAAACCTGGTTGCTGTGAACAAAGTACAGTAACAGAAAGGCATCCCAGCATGGGGGATTTGACAGGACTAAAAGCACCAAAAATGTTCAACCATGTGAGACTGAAAACCTCAGCACCAGACACAAACTGCAAAGGCTGGATATAGGCTGAGTCTCTGGGTTCCTGTCAAGGATCTGTCTCCCCTAGAGACAAGGCTGCTGTAGCATGGAAGAGCAGCCAGCAGAGGTTCAAGGAAACAAACCTGTTAAGGACCCTTTTTTTCCATGTATGAATGCAAGAAGGCTCAGAGACAGACCAATTTCTTCGCAAAGAGACATGATGTAGACTGGCTGATGTCCCCAACCAGCATATCCTGTTATATTCCTTGAAAAAGGATTTTTTTAAAATCCCAGCTGCTATCCACATTGTAGCCTCTAAGAGCCACCTCAAGAAGTAAGTACAGATTGGTCCAAGGGCATTTTTGCCCTCTGGTATAAAGTTAAAAAGTTTTAGCCTAGGTTGCACTGACAGTCACATTATTGGATCAAGCTGTTTGTGGAAGCTTCCCAGATCTTAGGCACCAAAAAAACCCAAGAAAAATGGGATTCCCCAAGAAACAAAGCAATAGGCAGACAGTGCATAACCTATCTGCAGGAGATACAGGTGTACCAGTACCTTGAATACGGTGAGAGTCCTGGCCTTTGCAGTTCAAGGGCAGCGAAGACTGGGGAGATGTGGAGAAAGACAACTAAAATGATCAGAGAGCCTCAACCCCAAGCATTGCCACCACTCACTCAACTCCATGGGCCACAGAAAGCAGTGTTCTCTGGCAAACAGATCAGAGCTGCATTCCCTCATATCTTGCTGGGTTTTGCAGTATTTACTTATGCCTTTATCACCTTGCTCCCAGTGATGGGAAAGTCCATACTGATTGTGTTTAAAAAAATAAATGAGCCTGCTTGACACCTTTAGAGGTGGAAACACAGGTGAACTCTCACAGCTGAAGAATGAATTTTCCCTTTCAGACACTTCAACCCTGCTCATCTCTGGGCAAACAGTCAACACTTGGCAGGATTTACAGAATACACCAGCTGAGGAGCAGCTCCCTCCCACATCTTCAGCCCCTCTACCTCCTGTCTGACACTCTGGAGCTTTCCCAAGCCAGATGGGACCCCAACAGGTTGCACTTCTGCTGGCACTCTGCCCAGCTGGTGATGGTGGTAGCAAGCTAGAAGGAAGGACCAGTTTTACTTTCATTTGCTGATACATTCACTGGCTGAGGAATGTTTTGACCAGTCATCCTTAAGCTCAAGATGTTTCAAGAGCATTAGCACTGAAAACTGCGACTGTAGTGAGGGAGAGCAGATATTAAAGAACGAGCACCATGAGAAATTCCATGTCAGTCTCTAGGGTTGAATATAATGAAATAATCAAAATGTATGTGTGATATACATAATTAATACCTAAAGCTGTTTCCTAACTGTGAGTTAAGGTTTGTCACCTAGTTGATTCTTTATTTGAGTAATGAGAATGAAATTCAGCTGCTGTTTCAAACACATGAACAGGTTAGGCCTTGAATGCTTCTGGTACTTAGTGATCCTTCGTATTTTTGGGAGGAAGAAAAGCACCAGCTGCTCCCAACATGACTCAGCAGGACAGGAGATAGACCAACAATGAAAAACAAACAAAAGGCAGAACTCTGCAAAGTTGCTTCTACTGGTCAGAATATTCAAAAACATACTGTACTGGGCTTGCAAGGCCAAGCTTTGGTAGCTAGGGGGGCTACAAGGGTGGCTTCTGTGAGAAGCTGCCAGAAGCTTCCTCTATGTCCAACAGAGCCTGTGGCAGCTCCAAGATGTGCCACTGGTCAAGGCTGGGCCAATTGGAAATGGTGGTAATGTCTCTGTGACAATATTTTTAATAGGAAAAAAGTTTTAATTGCATCCAGAGAAGAGTGGAGTGAGAAGATGTGAGAGGAACAACCCTGCAGACACTCAGGTCAGTACAGAAGGAGAGGCAGGAGCTGCTCCAGGTATTGGAGCAGATTCCCCTGCAGCCTGTCAGCAAATGGTGAGGCAGCTGTGCCCCTGCAGCACAGGATCTCTATGCATCTGTAGCTCCTGGGGGAGCCCAGGCTGGAGCAGGAGGATGCCTGAGAGGAGGCTGTGATTCTGTGGAAGGAATGGAGAGAGTAGCTCTCACTGGAGCAGCCTGTCCTGAAAGGACTGCATCCTGTGCAAGTGTGACCCATACTGCAGCAGTTTGGGGAAGACTACTGCCCATGGGGTGGACTCATGCTGGCAAAGTTCCTACAGAAGTGGCCTGCTATGGGACGGACCCCATGGTGCAGGAGGGGAACACTCCTCATCCTTAGCAGCAGAAGAAACAATGTGTGATGAACCGACTGTAACCCCCATTCCCATACACTGCTGGGACAAGAGGTAGAGCTGGGAAGGAGGGAGAGGTAGGGGGAAGTTGTTTTTAAGGTCTTATTTTACTTCTGATTATCCTGCTCTGATTTTGTTGGTAATAAATTTAATTAATATCTCTAATTCTAGCCTGTTTTGTCTGTGATGGTGTTTGGTGAGTGATATCTCCTGGTCCTTATCTGTTGCAGAAGATCATCAGGACAGTAAGCAGATAGGTAAGGCTGCGAAGATTGGAATAGCTCAGGTAGACCAAGGCTGGGAGCAAAAGGATGAGCTGTTTCTAGCCACAGGCCACTTCAGGACATCTAGGAAGGTGTGCAACACACAGATGGGCTCATCACTGAGCCATGTGGGATATAACCATGACACAAACATATTAAAGAGTGGAGATTGTATTGAGTCTGGTTGAGCAGTTAGTTGAGTTTGTTTGAGTTTCCCTTAGCAGCCCTCAGTGCTTTCCATTTTCCATAGAAAGGTATTGATAACACACAACTGTTTTGGCTACTGCTAAGAAGTGTCAGCATCAGCATGGTCTCTAACATTCCCCATGCCCTCATAAAGGGGCTGAGAGGTGGCAAGATCCTAGGATAGGACACAACCAGGCCAACTGGTCCAAATTAACCAAAGGGATATTCCACACCATATAACATCAGCTCAGATATGAAAGCTAGAGTTAGAGAGGAGAATGGGAGACATTTGTTATATAACAATGTTTGCCTTCTGGAGCAACTGCTACATGTGCTGAAGACCTTCTTCCTGGGAACTGGCTGAACATTGCTCACCACTGGTAAGCAGAGATGCATTTCTTTCCCCCTCTGCTTATGCTTGTGTGCAGACAAGCTTTTGCTATTGCTTTAGTAAAATGCCTTATCTCAACCTACAGGTTGTTTTCCGTGTTATTTTTCTCTCCCCTGTCCTGCTGGGAAGGGAGTAATAGAGCACTTTGGTGGGCACCGGGAACCCATTACAAATACTTTTCCACTAGTGCTGCTTTGAAGAAGAGAACAGTGACTGAGAAAGGCTTCAATAATTGAGATAATTTTCCTTCAGATAGGAAACCCTGTGAACAGGACAGAAGGCTCTGCAATGTCAGCCCAGTATGAGGACACAGAAGCCCAGTATGCTCAGACAGACTGGCAAGTCTGGTTCCCACTTGATTCAAGTCCTAAATCCCACACCAACTCCCTCCCAAACCTCTCCTCACATAGGCCCTAGCTCTTGCAGAGATGACAGGCCTTAGGTGTCACCACTCCACAACGTATTCACAGTTACCTGACATTTTGGGTAGGGTTCCACCTTTCTGATGGCAGCTCTCCACTTTGTGGGTCATCTACAGGTGGGTGAAGAATTGAAATACATACATCTCCATTCTGCAAGACAGAAAAAAGCACTGAGAATAGCTTGGCTGGAGGCTGAGGCCTGATGACTCATATCCACCATTCTGGCTGTCTTCTGATCAGTTTAATCTTGTTGATATGAACACTCAAGTGCCAATAAACACCAACAAGGGCTGGAAATGGTTCTGAAATCTTCTTGGATCTGCTTTATATCCAAGGGTTAGCCTGGCAAAAAGCCCAATATAAATTCTAGAGGTTTAAAGAATGTACTGAAGTAAGCAAAAATAGTAATAATGTAACATAAAACTAAAACTAAATAAAACCAGATAGCAAGTACTACTGTCACAGTGACACAAGCTTTTATCACAGGAAACACAAAGCAGGGTTAAAGAAAATTTGTGTTCCCATTGGTAGCTTGAGGAAAATTGAAAGCTACAGGAAATTTTTAAACTGAAGGGTTTAATCACCATCTACTATCTCAGGTATGAAAACATTACATCTCACAGGACACAAGGGTGTTGAACAGATGGTGAGGGGCAGGCTTACACAGCTCCCCTAGGACACAGCTGTTCAAAATACCAGACAAAAAAGCAGGAGATGCTCTCCAAAAGTTTCACTGAAAATCCCTTCCAGCATGCAACAGGAAGACTATTCTGGCAGCATATGGAAGCCATACAGGCACATAATCCTCAATATATGTTCTACTCACCAGTGTTATGGCCTGAATATAGGTTTAAAGCTCCATAGTGCCTATTTAAGAAAGGTGTCAACCCAATTCTCCATCAGCAACAACACTCTGACACAACTGCTGTGTACAAGAGTGGGAGCAGTATCCACTCCAGCTGATATTCTCTGCTGAGGCAGACTCCAGGGACTCACATGGTACCAATGCCTTACTGCAGGACAAGGTGAAGAAGCAGATGAGGCCTCAGACCAGCCAGTAGATACTAGCCTCTCCAGGCCCCATGGGCTTTGCTCTCCCTTGCAGCCAGCTGTGGGGTGAATGACAAATTCCTAGAGGCATCACCACACCTTCAGTAGGCACAGCCCTAGCTGAAGGACAGCACTCATCATGTCCCTTGTCACCCTTATCCAGAGCAAAGGCTGATGAAGGATCAGTTCTGTTCAGGACTCCAGGCTACCAGCTTCCCACACACCTGGTCCCACGTCCTTCCAACACTGCTTGAGCACAGAGCAGGGCTGCTCACAGCAACAGCATCTGTGCCTTTGAGCCCAAGCCAGTGATCACAGCTACAGATAGCAGCAGCTCACCTCGGGGGGCTGTGATCTGTATCCAGATTTCAGTGGTGCACTGTTCCCGCCAGGTATGCTAATCTACCAGGCCCTTGTCACTTTGAAGCAGGTTTTAGTCAAGAACACAGCAAGGCAGCACCTGGAGCTGCTGAATTCCAAAGCACATACTTATGTTGATGGAATAGTTTACTTTAAGAAGGCAGTTTCCCTTTTAGGATGCCAACAGGCTTGTTACATCTTGGAATTTTTTTAGTATCATTCCAAGGTGGAGTTAACTTTACTAATATTAGATTATGCTCAGTCTACTCTGCTTTTACAAATAATTTCCATTGGTTTTTCCTTTAACCTTTTCCTGGGAGAATGCAATGCTAATGGCCCAGAGGAGGTAACTCAGCACTTGGAGAAAGTTCCTGAAGCAGTCAGGAAGAGTCTGGAAGGGCAAAGGTATAATGGGGCCTGATGAGGTTAGCACAAGGTTTTTAGGGATCAGGACAGTCAGGGGCCAAGCCTTTCCCTACATGAATTTTTGAAAGACTGGCAAGGAGAATGGGGTATTCATCTGCCACTGAGAAATATCCTACACTTCTATCAGGACTGAGAGCTGTTATGTTATAAAAATAAAGCACAAGTGAATGCAGTTTTATCAAAGTTCAATTAGATGACCCAAATAAACAGAGATGGGAAAACACACATTGCTCAAGTCTCATTGCTCAGAATTGGAATGTCAGCCCCAGCCTCTCCATCTGGTCCCAGCAGCAGATTCTGTAAACCGCTACTTTCTTTCATCTTCCTTGCACTAAGACTTTTTTTTGTCCCCCATCTATCCTATTGAAAAAACCTCAAATCTCAAATGCTCTGCTGAGATAGTCTCAGTTTCATCTGGAGTTATTCCAGTGCCTCATCTTCATTGCTTAAATGTTGTTTCCAAAACAGCCTGCAAGCTGCTTCAGATTCCCTCAGCTACAAGAAATACTGCTATGAACACAAAACACAAGGTTGAGAGTTTGTGTACTTCAAGAGCAAACCCAGAATACACCTGTCAAGTTTTGGGTTAGTTCCTCCTGCTGCCTTCAGTTGTTTCCAGTCAATTTTTCATTTTTCTCACCAGGACTGGGAGAGGTCCTTTCCAAAGGCTTGTTTTTGTATATTTCATTTTGGTAACCATTTGCCACTCACCTCCTGCATGAGGATTTCCAGATTCAGAATTAATACCCACAGTACAGGTCTGCAATTATCTGAGGATTACAAAGTTGTCTTTATTTATAGATCAAAATTCCATGTAACTGAAATAGAGCCTTAAGGAGAAACACCATCCTTGGCTACAGCAAAGATCCTCTGCCAGATACAAAATCCACATCAGAAAACTGTCAGATAACTGGTTTGAGGATATCCCTGGACTTAGGGCAATCCTCTGGATCAGTCAATAATTAAAGCTGGTTACTATTCTGTTCTGCACTGAAGTTTGGCACAGTTTCTAGCCATTTATTACTAAGCCATCAGTGCAGTTCTCATCACAATATTTGAAGCACACCCATTCCAAGCTGGGCATTCAGCAGCAATAACTTATCAGAAAGGGCTTTCCAAGCCCAAACCATCAACTGAAGCATTTGTTCACAGGATTGATGAGAATGACATTCCTGTTTTCAGGTTGGTTCAAAGGAAGCCTGCAGAACCTCTCATAAGAAAACCTCTGATAAAGTGAGAGACCTGCACCAACAGGAACATTTTCAAGTCCTTTAGCTCTCAAAACTATAGAACCAGTGCTCCTTAGCAGGTTGACATTCTTCTAGAATACCTGAAAGTTCAGCTAGGATTTGGCTGACCTCCAGTAAAAGTCAAGTTTTGAACCAAACAGGCCTTCAGCCTTCAAATACAGCCCTATGGAACTGGGTGATATTGAACCAATTGCCTCTAAATAGAGTTATTCATCTTCTGGACCTGCTGTATAGTTCTATTGTGATCCAACTGCTGACAGTCCACAGCCTTGACTACCCTCTGAAAATAACCCATACACATACTGAGTTTAAGGGAGCAGAAAGTTCTCTCATACACCATAGAAAACGTTATTTAAAAAACACCTTACCTCGTAAATGTTGGGGTGCCACATTTTGGTCAGGAATCTGAAGGTAGGTGGTGAATATGGATAGTCAATAGGAAATTTAATGTGAGCCTGAAAAAAAGCAGAATATGTTAGCTATGAAACAGAACAAAAAAGACCAACAAGCAACAACTACAGTGAAAAGATTGGGGAAAAAATTCATTAAGGCTACAAAATTGCTCATTTTATAAACCAGTGCCCAAGTGGCCCCACAGTATAACTCTATGCAACTTCATACGAGCAAAACACTAACTGAACAAGAGAAATCAAAACACCTAGGCTGGTAATGCTCAGAAAACAAGACAAAACTCATTTACCATGTCCTAATTCAAGAAGCACTATTCAACAGCTGCTGTTAAAACAAGGCAAAATATACTGGAAAAGTTTTGACTTGAGAGAGCATTGCTTCCTTTTTGAGTTCAAAAGCAGACTAAAAAAACGTTTACTAAGCTGAATAGACCTGTTTTATATTTGCCTGTACAAATATTTAAAATTACTCTTCCCATGATGAAAAAAAAAAGTTACGTAACTTGCTCTAGTTATTTTGCCTTTCTTTGAAAGTTAAGCTGCTCCATCCACCTGTGTTTCTAATACTATATTTTGCCACCACAGGCATTTGTTGAAGTCTCAAAATCATCCATGTCTGTTTAATATATCAGTGCACCTTGACAAATATTGATGGGCAGTGACAGCAAATATCTTGCAGTGGTCAACAACCATCTGTGGGGCACAACTTCGAGTCGAGTCAGTTGTGGGAATACTGCAGAGATCCTAGCACTGGAATTTAACTTCTCTGTGCTGTCCTGCTGTACAATAGCAGTCTGAATATGGACTGATCAAGTGTCCAAAACACTTCTCTCTGGAAGGTGGACTTGCATGCTGCTTGCTGTGCTGTGGAGCACAAACCCTTTCCTTGGAACTGCTCAACTCACCAAAAAGTCCTACTGCAAGCCCAGCAAGGGATGTCCAGAGAAGCATCTCCTGGTCCCTCAAACACAGCCAGGCTCATTTGCAACTGAGAATGCAAAAAGAGATCCCAAAAGCGAGATTCATATTTATCCTGGTTTGAGACAAATTTAGGAGGAAATCTAGTCATCCTAGGACAACAAGGTAGGAGCAGAATTCCAGGTCACTCTCTTCCACTTAAGTACCTAACCATGCCACTTGCTCAAGAAGAGAAACTTTTGAAAGTTCTGTTCCATAGTACACAGAAGCAGACAACCAAACAAATGGATTACAGAACTGTTAAGTACCTGCCTACAGTATCAGCACACACCTTTGCCTTACAACCCAAATTTTATGGGATCAGAGTGCCAGGTAGTCAAGAAGAGAAGGTTTTCTATTCACCTTTATGAAAGAAATTCACCAGCTCACATGTCCTTATGGTCTCTAGATGCCAACTCATGAATGTATGTGGGTATGTTACAGCAGCACTGAGTCCTCACCCTGCAGTCATTTGTCACAGAACACTGACAGCCAAGAGATTTATGATCCACTTAATCCCATGGTTTAAGGCCAGTTCTATGAATGGCATTGCTCCAAGAGCAGTGAGTGACTGGCTCTTGTCACCACACACCGCTGCAGCAAGGACACGCCTGGGTCACAGCATGCCACCCTGCACTGTGATCGGAGCAGAGATCTACCCAGTGCAGGACATAATCACTCCAACTCAAGTGCTTGCATCATACAGCTACAGACTCCTCCAGACACTGGGGCTTTCCCAGGAAAGCCCATTCCTCTGCTTACACACAATTTTGTGAGATATAAGACATAAAACAGCAAAAGGACCGAGATTAAAAATGCAAGAGACAACAAAACTCAGTGCTGAGCTACCTACAAGATGCCTTAGCAAAATCTGTCTTCTACACAGCCACAGCTTCCAGGTGACCAAACCAAAAAACATTATGCCAGTAGACTACCAGCACTGCCATGCTTATAACGCATATAGATGCTCAAGGAGTGCAGGTTTCATTCCTCCCAGTAAAACCCTTTTCATTCAAATTGTCTAATCCTGAGGGGTTTGTCTCAACAAGGCCACTCCAGAAGCTGAGCCTGAGGCACCAGTATGTGTCTGTATGTGATGCAGACTCCTGCAGAAGCTATACATCCTGAAAGACTGTTCCAAATTTCTAAATCCTGTTTGACAAATGAAGTTCTTTATTAGAAAAGGACTAGCTGCCTACAATAACTATCACTATGGAATGCAGTGTTGTGTCACATGAAGGATTCTCTTGAGCTGTAGGAACAGAAAAGGCAACTGGAGAAATAAAGAGACATCTTTCCTTCCCCCACACAGGCAGCTAAGAACCTAGCTTCCCTGTAATCCATCATATATTTAGAGAAAGCAGTCACATTACAGGGTGATCAGCAATTTCTGACTAGTCTGTAGCTCTTTAGCACATTGAGATTCTGTACTGGAATACAAAGCAAGTGAGGCTTCTTTACAAACCTGATTTCAGAGTGAAAAGCCTCCAAAACAGAAAACCTCAAATTACAGGCAGGGATTTTTCCCAAACAAAAAGAGCACCACTGTCAGGTCCCCATGGTGAGATCATCCAGAATTTGAAAGTGAAACCAAACACTTTTCCAGGCCATTACAAACAAGTCTGAGAGAATTACCTCATCTCTTCTGCAAGAGAAACCAAGAAGAAAGTTACGTAAGCCTATTCTGCTCTCACTGAATGCTATTTGAGTTTCTGTGTGGGTTAAGCAAGCCAAGAACTTCCAAGACAAGCTGCAAGACTGCTTGCAAAGATGCAGCAACAGCCACAATTTTTTTCCCCACTGGAAGCCTGCTTCTAAACATGTTAAAAAGAACCCAAATTAAGCAAGAAACCTAATTTTAAATAGGATTCACAGAATAGTTTTCCCCTACAGTTTCACTGATATAAGGCAAAAAAAATCTGTTTTTTTTAAAAAAAAAAACTTAGCCAGGCTGCTAGGTACTAGAGAGTGGCAGAGTTTTCAGGGAGCTTGTTGTTAGCTCAACAACAAGCCACACAAACTAATTTAGGAGGACTAAAGATGCAGCTCAGTTCCCCCCTGCAAGTTCCAAACAGTTACTGCATTCACCATGTGCCCGACTCCTCAAACTGAGCTTAAACAGAACAAAAACAATCCTATTTTGTTGCTGATTTTAGCCAGCTTCATGTCATGGCTCCTTGACATCACTGAACATACTCAATATCCAGCAAGGTAAAGACCAGTCAACCCTTTTCTCCCTTCCCCAGTTTGTAACTAGTCATGGTTATAGTCCCTAGAAGAATAAACTCTTCTACATAGTCCAGCCTGGGAGAAGATACAGCCCTTTTCAGACATTACTGCCACGAGAACTTCAACTTCCAAATTACACCATAGCAGATATTTTAAGAATATTGCTACCAACATAGTCACTTAGTTTCCTATTTTATTGCTCCCCTCCATCTTCAACAGAGACTGCACTTCAGCTTTGTTAATTTTCTTTAAGTTGGATAAGACAAAGGCACAAGTTCTGTTATATATGCCAGAAAAATACACGGTCTCACTAGATCTTATGTGACTGAAAATAATAACCTATTGTTTCTGCCAACCACTGAATTATTCACTGATTCAGTCACTATGAATAACTATTACAGCAACTTTGTTTCTTGAGATCTTGCCACACACTTGACTCAACATTTATACTTGGGTCACAACTACTCCAGGCTTGGGGCACAGACACTGGAAAGCTGCCTGGCAGGAAAGGACCTAGGGGACCTGGTTGACAGTGGCTGAACATGAGCAAGCATGTGCCCAGGTGGGCAAGAGCATCCTGGTCTGGACCAACAACAGTGTGGCCAGTGGGAATAACACAGGCAGGACTCCTTCCTAGCCTCAGTCCTTGGTCCAGCCTAGCTGTAAATGACACTTCAGGAGACTGACACTAATTTTATACACCCATCTCAAGCTGACAAAACTGAGATCCCTGATTATTAGGCAGAAAGGGAAGGAATGTTCAATCCCTCCTACCTGCCCAGTGCAGATAGGCCATGGGGGGAGTGCACACATTTCCTGGAAAGCCACCAGGATCACAACTGATCAGATTTGAGAATAATTTGGAATACCAGCAGCTTTTATAGTGGCCAGCAGAAATTGTAGCTGCTTGGTGTTCCTGGAAGTGCCATTTAGAGATTATTTTTATTTTAAAATATCACAAGCTTAATGCCAGCCCCTCTAAAACTCCACATTAGTGACGGTAAGGACCTTTAACAAATTCTATTCAAGATCAGATACAAAGGAAGCGGTTTGAGTTTTTAAACTATTTTGCTGTTATTTGTAGTTGCCTGCTACAGCAAATCCAGATAAGCTCCTATTGACTCTGTGCTGGTACCACCGGGGTTTCTTAGAGATCACCCACCTGCCCTGGTAGACTCACAGACAGCACAAGGACTCCTCACCTTCCTCCTTAAGGGGCACAACCAGGCTTCCCCACTGTGCTGCTGACTGCTCCACACACTGAACATGCAAGAAAGGTGGGAACAAGAACTACAGGCCCCTACCAGCGTTTGTATCTAATCCCACAAAATGCCCTTTTCTTGCTTCTGGTGCATCACGCATTTATACCATTCATTTAACGGAATCTCCTCTTCCACATTAAGCCTGGATTAGTGCATGCAGGATTAAACACTATGTGCTGGAAAGCATGTTCAGTAGAGGTCAGCAGTCAGTAACAGCAGACAGTTTCTCACAGCAGTGAGATTTAAAGCACCTCAGTATCATCCAACTCACAACATGTAAAACCACATTACAGCCAGTCCCACTGCACTGTCAACTACCTGGTGAGGTAAAAATGGATGTAGGGCAAATGTAGCTGCTATTTCAGCTCCATTTATGATTTATGACCTATGTAATTTCTTGTGGCAGAGCTGGGTGCTAGCCTGGTACTTTAAACCCAGTTACTGCTTCATTTCCCAGCAGCACTGTATCAGTGTTTATCGACATATGTTATGCTTTCAGAGAATAGGAGCACATCTCTGATCCAAGATAAGTGACCAGGTCACTGAAGTCTTGTGCTTGGTGCTGTAGTGGCCATATGAACAGTAGCAGCGGAAAAC